CAACCTTTAAGCATGGATCATTTCAAGTGTATGAGATCAGCGGTTGCCATAGTGATCAACCACTTGGCCATATACCCTGTCAGAGGCTGACAAGCCTCTTTGCATGCCTGCCAGGGCACCTTGGTGACTTTATCTGACTACGCAGCAATTTGAGAGAGATATCCCAGTGCCTATTTAAATAACTGAAGCTGCTCAGAATGTTTGTACGTGTGGCCGGTTCTAGACGGGGGCCAACAGAGGCCAGGGCCCCTGTCTTATTTCTGTAACAGTTGTAAACATTATTCTACTCCAAGATCTACAGTGTCAATATAACTATCAAAACAACAGTTTTGTTATAGATCAACAAAATAGTGTATAGATGTTAAGTTTGAGGAGAAGGAAACTTTAAACTTATTCATAAATGACGTTAATTGCGTGGTATACATTTGCATTTAAATACCCCACATTACTCTGGTACCTCTAAATGGTATTCAGTGCAAGATGCATTAAAAGGTAAATAGAATCCACCAGTGTGAATCCGAGAGACTATTAACCAAAGAAGCTGCCTGTGGGGCCATGGTAACACGGGAGGAATGCAGAGATCTACAGCTCAGCTGATATTGCTGGTGAAGATACTCAGTCATCCAGGTCATAGTCATTCCAAAAAAGTAAAAAAAAAAAAAAATTCAATTTCAATTCAGTTTATTTATATAGCGCCAATTAACAAAACATGTAATTTCGAGGCACTTTACAGTTCACCAGATCATACAGTCAAATTGATGCAAACTTTTCTATTTAAGGAAAACTAGTTTATTGCATCGACTCATTGACTCGAATGCAATCCCTCACACTAAGCATGCTTTAAGCGACAGTGGAGAGGAAAAACTCCCTTTTAACAGGAAACCTCCAGCAGAACCAGGCTCAGTGTGAGCGGCCATCTGCTGAGGCCGACTGGGGTTCAAGGAGACAGAAGCAGAGACACAAAAAGCAGCTGTAAAAGGCAGCCCCGTCCAGGAAACACACAGCCAGGCAGATGAGCTCCGAGCCAGCTCCCCTGTCAGAGGATGAAGAGAGCACATCCAGCCAGTCACAGTTAGAGAAACAGGACTACACTGGAAAAACAGGCCGATCTCCAACATCTATAAACAAAGGTGTTGATACTTTGCTTCAATTTGAATTAAAAAAGCTTCCTGGATGGGAAGCGAAACATCTTCAAACTTGGAAAAAAAATTCCAGCGGATTGTTTTTATTTTTATTTTTGAGGAACTTATGGAAGAAAGAATACTTTTTTGGGGGGGGTGGGGCTAATGGAGGGGACGTGATTGTAATAATTTAACTTTAACTCTATTTATCTCCCATTGGAGCAGTGTGAGTTAAGGGTTTTGCTCAGGAACCAAGACTGGAGGCTGTGGGGATTAAATCGGGCACTTGCAACTTTCTCAGAGCACAAGCACACCGCTCTAACTCACTAGGCCACCACTCCCCGCAATACCATTGGTTCCAACAGCAGGCAATAGATGGAAGTCATGTGATCCTTTCATTATTTTCCCATCTTTCCCCTAANTGATCCTTTCATTATTTTCCCATCTTTCCCCTAAACTCACCTGGTAGATGTCAAGACTGGAAGCTTTTGTATTCAAAATTGCATCGAGAAAAGAAATGTTACAGAGGTTTGAAAGTATTTATTTATTTATTTGCTACAGGTTACATTTGCTTTGTATTTATACAAGATCAGCACTACTCAGATTTAAAATTTCAGTTGGAAATAAAGCTTCTCAAGAAAAGATTTGTGCATATTTCCTCAACTAATTTCAAAACAGCAAATGTAAGTTAGGTAAATAATGGCTAAAGGGTATTGGTTGGTTTAAACAACCCTTACAGTGTAGCCACCTTCTGTTGTATTAAAAATAAATAAATAAGGTCTAAATCTCTTTATTTGATTCATTTACAAATGAATAGTTAGGCAGTGGAAAAAGAGTGAAAAAAACTACCTTGAGGAAGAATCCCGGATAAGTGCACTGAAGTTGTTGGACATAATTTGTCAACATTTTCAAAGTTGAAGTTTTTACAGTGCTTTAAGTTGAAAACACAGCCAGGGCCTTTTTTATTTAGGCATGTTTATAAATACAGGCCTTTTCATGAACACTTATGTACTTCAGTAATGTTTACAAAAACTATTTAAATCAAATGTAACGAATTTAATAAAGCTTTGGTGGTTAAAAAATAAATAAATCTTAAGTCAGATATTTTTACATGCATGCATGCATACAAGGGCTTCAGTTTGTTTTAACCTACATGGAATTAATTAACCGGATGATGTAGTTTCAGCAGTGACCACTAGAGGGCAATGCTGAGGCTAACTTGTCTTTAAGACACCCAGCAGTGACAAGCCGAACGCAGTAGCACTGTGAGCTAAGCTCAGCCGCTGTAAGATGGCGTCTCTTCTGCAGCCAGATAGGGTTATCTATCTGGTTCGTGGAGAGAAAAGGATTAGAGCGCCATTATCTCAACTTTATTTTTGTCGTTACTGTAGCGAGTTAAGATCGCTGGAATGTGTGTCTCATGAGGTGAGTTTTTTTTTTCCTCCTCTGATAGCGGCTAGCTGCTTTGTTGTTAGCCGACACGGTGTCGCTATGACAGCTGGGCGGGGCTTAATCATTCATCCCATGCATTGTGTGGACTAATCGCGCTGTCAATCACTTCGTTTTCCTGTGAATCCTTCATTTGATTGGCTGAGCTTTTTTAACTTCCGCTGGAGTTAGCATCATGTAGCATCAATTGGCTAGGTACTTTATGTTATACCTAAGATTTAATATTATACCATATTGATTACAGAAATATATGTTACCTGGTACTTTTAGGAAATAAAGATTTTAATAGTAACGTTGAGCTCGTAGCACTTATGTTATCTACTTTAGGGAGATTAGCTTTATAATAAAGGGGCACCACACCCTGGGAAAAATAGTCATACTCCTTTAAGGCATCTTGTGGGTTTTTATGTAAACATTTAACAACTTAAACCATAATCTTTCATTTTTTCTGATAATGGATGTATCAAATACATATATGCGCAGAAATATGTGCAAATAACCTTAAAATAGATATTCTTAAAGCTGACAAATATATAAAACATTTTGTAGTTGTGTGACCTTTTGATTAAAGTGCATTTATTCAAAGAGGGAATTAATCTCAAGTAATTTTGGTACTCTTAATAATCCCTTTAAAAATCAATGTAACCAGCTGACATTTTCTTTTAGATACAAGTTGATTTAGCAACTCTAAATTATGAATATGGCTTCTATTCAGGTTATGCAAACATGTTTGAATATTGAAAAAATTGGTTAAATCTAATTTGTTAAAGAGCATTATTAATTTTTCGGCTTGGCTGTACATCTTAACCACCACTAAAAAACAAACAAGTATTTTCTTTCCTATTGTTAACCTAACCCTGAATATTTGAAGTTTGTTAAACTTCATTGTGGCTTTAGTATAACTTTAA